TTTATTAGAATTAATTCCATAAGAAAATGCTAATTTTCCATTAAAACCCGAAATTTAGCTCAAAAATCGCCTGTGGGGCCCATGTCTCGGATCCCGACAAAAGTTACAAAATCCGACAAGCCATTCTATTACGAGTTTAACCATACTAATTTCACTCAAATCTGACTCTGAATCGGTGTTCAAATCCCAAAAATTCATTTTATGAAATTTCTACAATTTTTCCCAAATTTCCATCTCAAAATACTGATTACATGATGAAAACAATGATATATTCATGTATGTTAACCAAATCTGAGTTAGAATCACTTACCCCGATAAATTCTTTGAAAAACCCACGAAATATCGTCTCAAACCGAGCTCCCAAGGTCCAAAAATAAAATAATAACCTAAGCCTCGGTTATATAGCCCATTCTCTGAACTCACTATGCGCGGTCCGCATAATTCCAAGAGCGGCCGCACATCCCAGCTCCTGCGGTGGCACAAATATGGTGCGGCCGCACCTTTTTGATGACTGCACTGCCATGCCTTAGTATTTTGGCCATAACTTTCTCTACAGATGTTCAAATGATGACTTCTTTACTTTTCTGGAAACTAGACACGAAAGGCTACAACATTTGTTTTTGAATCATCTCAACATTCCTTGTGGATCAAAAGATATAAGCTTCTGAAATCGGACCGACGAATCTGCAGAACTCCCTAGAGTGCGGCCGCGGACAGAATTGTGTGGTCTGCGCCCCTCCTCTGAGGCCCGCATTTTTCTGCTGCGGTCCGCGCCCCTCCTTCGCCTCATCACTCAAAAATGTGCGGTCCGTATCCCCAAAATTGCCAGAACAATATTAGAGTGCCGAAATGCCCGGACTCGCTCAAAACTCACCCCGAAACTCATCCGGAACCCCTGGACACAAACCATATATGAATTTCAATCATAAAACGCGCTACGGACCTGCTCGCGCACTCAAAACACTGAAAAGAGATCGTCTTGACCAGATATTGACCATGGCCAAACTCCTATATTTCTTAACTTTACTTATCTCTCAACCAATGATCTAAAAATACACCCAAGCCCCTCGGGACCTCAACCAAATATACCAACATATCCGAAAATATAATACGAACTTAGTCGAATCCTAAAATCACCTCAAACAATGCCAAATCCATGAATTACACCCCAATTCAAGCCTAATGAACTTTGAAATTTCTAATTTCTACAAACAATGTCGAAACCTATAAAATTACGTCCGATTGATCTCAAATTTTGCACACAGGTCATAAATGACATAACGGAGGTATTCAAATTTTCAGAATCGGATTCTGACCTCGATATCAAAAAGTTAACCCCCCGGTCAAACTTTCCCAAAATTCAACTTTCGGCATTTCAAGCCTAATTCCACTACGGGCCTCCAAATAATTTTTCGGACACGCTCCTATGTCCAAAATCACCATATGGAGCTATTAGAATCATCAGAATTAAATTTTAGGGTCGTTTACACATAAGTCAATATCCGATCAACTATTTCAACTTAAGCTTCCAACATGAAAATTCATTCTTCTAAGGTAACTCCAAAATACCTTAACACTAAAACCGATAATTCACACAAGTCATAATACCTCATAGGAAGTTATTTAAGACTTCAAATAATTGAAAGGAGCGTAAATACTCAAAACGATCAGTCGGGTCGTTACAAGTTTGATGCTCAATTCCAAACTCCCTCTATTGGCCAATTTGGGGGCATTATGCTATTGTGGAAGGAGGATTTGCTGAAGCTGGAGGAGGTGTCCACCTCACCCCAAGGGATCCATGCCATGGTGCATGTAATTCCCCCTTCCACAAAATGGCTATTTTCTGCTATTTATGCTAGTAACTGCTTAGTTGATAGGATTAAACTTTGAGAGTTCCTAGAAGACTTAGCTTCTTTATATAGGTGCAGGTGGCTAGTTGAAGATGACTTTAATGACATCCTGAAAGCTAGATATAAGCTAGGAGGCAACTGCTTAAACTTCAATAGGAGTAATAGATTATGGCAGTGTCTCAATCAATGTAAGCTAGTAGATCAAGGATTCAAGGGCTCTAAATACACCTAGACCAATAAAAGATATATTATTGGATAGAACTCTTCCCTGAAAGCTCAGTCACCCACATCCCTAGGACTCATTCTGATCACTGCCCTTTACTCTTCAACCTCCCGACTTACCACCACATTACACATAACAGACCCTTTAGGTTTGAATCTATATGGTGTAACCTCCCTGGTTTTCTATCCATTGTGCAACAAAGTTTCTCACTTTAGTATAACATCCATAGGTCTACTGAGATCTTTAAAAGTAGGGTAACCATCTGAAATAAAAATGTGTTTGGCAACATATTCCACAAAAAAAATATAGACTTGCTAGATTAAATGGTATTCAAAGATCCAATATTTACCCCTTTAGCACATTTCTCCAGAGTCTAGAAGCTAATCTTCAGCAAGAGGATGCCAACACATTTCCTTAAGAATGAAGATGACTTCTGGAAGCTCAAATCTAGGATTAACTGGCTGTGTGAAGGGGATACCAACACCAGGTATTTTCACACCTCAACCCTTAACAAGATAAGGAGGAACAGAATCATTTGTTTGAAAGATGAGGTAGGAAACATAATCCAAGAATCCCATCTCATCAAAGAAGCCATCATTAAGTACTTCTCCCATATTTTCACTTCCGAACACATTCAATCCAGTAGGACCCCCTCCTATAGTGAAGATACACCCCATGTCCTTGATAACAGAGCCAAGCTAACTTTGGATTCCCCTCTAAGGTTGTCTAAGATTAGTTGTGCCCTAAACTCCTTTATGCCTATGAAGGCTCCAGGTCCATATGGGCTTCATCCTCTCTTCTACCAGAAATATTGGCACATCCTGGCTAACCAGATAAATAACTACTGCATACCAGTGTTTTCATCTGGCATCATGCCCCCTGAGGTTAACAGAATATACCTTTGCCTAATCCCCAAATGTCCTAATGCTACTATGCTGAGAAACTTCAAACCTATAGGACTGTGCAACAACATGTACAAGCTTATTACCCAAATCATTGTCAACAAAATCAAACATGTCCGTAACAATATCATTGTCCCCACTCAAGCCAGCTTCCTCTCCAATAGAAGGGATGTTGATAATGCCATTATGGTTCAGGAATATATTAACCACTTCCGGAAGATGAAAGGGAAAAATGCTAACATGATCTTAAAAGTAGACCGTGAGAAAGCATTTGATAAGTTAGAATGGTCCTTCATCAAGGACTCTTCTTCAATTTCCCTGATATACTAATCACCTTGATATGTCTTGTATCACTACCAGTTGCATCTTTCTCCTTGTTAATGGTGACAAGACCAACTTCTTCAACACAACTAGGGGTATTAGACAAGGGGATCTCATTTCCCCTTACCTCTTCATCATTTGAATGGAAAGGCTCTCTAGAAACATAGATGAGGCTGTTAGGAACAACTCATACTTTCCTATCAGCATAAGCAGGAGTGGTCCCAAGATCGCTCACTTATTTTCTCACCTTATTTGCTAGGGCCAATAATAAGAAATGCCATACTCTCTTAAGGACACTAGGGGATTTCAATAATGCCTCTGGCCAAAGGGTCAACTTCTTAAAATCCAAGATTTTGTTCAGTGCCAACTATAGGGAAGATTGGGCCAATCACTGCAGCTCAATCATAAGCATTAAGACTGGCTCAGCTTTTGGCAAATACCTTGGGTTTCCCATTTTTCACAAAAGACCTACAAATAGTAACTTTTAATTCATCTTAGATAACCTCAACACCAAGCTGGGTGGATGAAAAATAAGGTTCATCAATATGGCCAGTCATACTACTCTAGCTAAAGCGAGCCTGAGTAACATTCTCAGCCATGTTATGCAATACATTAAGCTACCCTCTAAAATAAATAACCAGATTGATAAAATTCAAAGGGATTATCTAGGCACTACTGCTGAAAAAAGAAAGCTCCACATGGTTAATTGGGAAACCATTACAAAACCTAAGAACATGGGGGCTAGGGATGCATCAAGCTCATATGAAGAATAAAACTTGCCATACCAGCTTAGCATAGAGAATGTACAATAACACCAGCTCCATCTGGGCTACAGTGCTCATGGGTAAGCATTGTAATGGAGTTGGTAATAGAGGTAAGCCTAAGACTAGAATCTGGCAGTGCATTTAAGAAGGTTGGATAATTTATACTAAAGCCTCCAAATGAGTTGTCCACAAAGGGGACAGGGTCAACTTTTTGGAGGATAATTGGTTACCCAACTTGCAGCCTCTTAGCTCTAACTTAAGAGGGCCTTGGCAACTGACAGACTTAAATAGGAAAGTCAGTACAGTTCACGGTAATGGAATATGGGACCTAAACTCTATCAGTTATCCCATTCCCTTTGAGATATCTACCATTATCCAAGGCACTTTCATTCCTCTTAATGCAAGGAACAATGATATACTCATCTGGAACCTCACCCCCACTGGTATTTTCTCCTTTATGCCAGCCTATAACTTTATTGCCAACAATCTTAACATCAAATCTGGCCATGAAGATCTATATGGTTGGATATAGAAGCTGAAGGTTCCTAATAAGATCAAATTCTTCACATGGCTGATGTATCAAAATAGATTTTGCACCGGAAGTTATCTCAACAACATTGGTCTGAATATAACCCCTAATTGCTTCTACTGTGGTAGACATGTAGAGGACATCAATCACATCTTCTTTGAATGTCCCAATGCCAAGGCTTTCTGGATTAACCTGGTTAAGGCTAGTACCAATAATCACAACATTCCCCCAAATGCTTTCATAATGCAAAAATGGGAGGATACATGGCACATACTTTAGCATATCCTTTTCAATGCCTGTATTGACTGAAAAATATTGATCCTTTTTATTTTCTGGAGCATATGAAAAAACAAAAACCCAAATGTGTTTGGAAAGAGAAAAAACCACATCCCCATCTAACAAGCAATTGATATGGCTGTTGAGTACTGCCATGTAGCTGCTAGGCAGAATCCACTCCCTGAAAAAGTTACTCTTAACCTCAAATGGCAACCACCAAAGGCTGGGACCCTAAAGCTTAACATTGATGGAGTTGCTTATGCTACAACTAGGCAGGGGGGTATAGGGAGTGTCTTTAGGAACAATAGCGGGGACTGGGTTATGAGCTACATGAAATGTTTATCTAACACAATTGGTATTACAAGTGAGTTTCAAGCTCTTTGGCAGGGCTTAAGAATTACTATTGATCATATGCTCTCTCCAATTGTGATTGATACAGACTTCACTAAGGTAATAAACATGATAAAAATGGCAATTTGACCCACAACCCATAATCTATGATTGTAGGTCAATGATGGAACAGCTGGGGAATCCAGCCATAGGACATAGCTACGGGGAGCAAAACCAAGTGGCGGACCTCCTCACGAAGGAAGGAGCAAAAAATGAAAGCTTTGAAAAAACTCAATTTTTGGCAGTTCCTCCGGTGTTCGCTAACGATGCAGTGTGGGCAGACATCTTAGGAACTAGTTTTAGGAGAAAAATCAATATTTGCAATATTGATACACTTACTGGTATTGCGTCTACTCAAGGGAACTCTGATTCCCATACTAATAAAGTAATTTTGCAGCACTTTTAATAATATTATTATATCCAATTTACCAAAAAAAATATTTTCCTTTGAACCATATCATAACATAGGAAAAATACATAAAATGCCTTTCTCTCGACAAATCACTTACATCTAACATTTGTGGTCATCTCCTTACCCATTATTTTGTTCCAAGTAACATTAAGATTTCTGAAATATCACAAACAGATATAGTAGGCGTTTGGCCATAAAAATTTAATTTTTGAAAAAAGTAATATTTGGAGTTAAGTTTAAAAATGGTATTTAGAATTTGAAATTATGTTTGGACATGTATTTCACTTGAAAAAATGGTATAGTTTTGTGAGTGGGGAAAAAATAATTTCTGAAAATTTTAAAAAATTGGTCTTTTGAAAAACTCATTTTCGAAAAATTTTCAAAAACTTGCAAAATTTTATGGACAAACACATTTTTTTTTTAAAAAAGTTTTAAAAAAATATAGACAAACGGGGCCTTAGGCTTGGAAATACAGTTGCACTGACTACACTAATTAACTTTCACTGTGAGGTCCATTTAAGTCATTTACTTACCTATATCGATATTTCCACCTAATTAAATAATTAATCTTAAAATTTAATAAATAAATGTGAAAAATAAAATGAATATCACTTAATTATAATTAAGTATTAAAAAAATATTTTGCATTTATTGACTTTGTATAAAAATAAAATGAATATCACATAAATTTTACGTCCAATTAATATCAAACGGGATGTATAGGTATATGATATTATATTGCATGCAATTGGTTAAACTTTAAATCAACAATATGGATGGCGTAATATATAGGTTTAAAACTTAAAAAGCTAGCAAATTTGCTATGCTGCTTATGTTAAGACGTCAAGTTGACAGATAAAATAACCAATATTTCTGGATCTATCTATTTATTCATTAAAATAACGATTTTTTGTGGTTATTTTGGTCTTCCCTGAAATTGAATCTATAAACCAAAATTTTGAAAATATTAAAACGATAATGAACAGAAAAATCAAACAACTGAACAAGAAGTTGATATTTTAGTTATTCAGTTTTGAATTTTACATTCCTCTTATTAGGATCAATCACAACATCATGTAAAATATTTATCGAAAAACATCATTTCTATCTTCACAAATTAGGAGTAAGATCTGCGTACGTATTATATTTCCAGAAACACTTTATCCTTTCCTCACAAGACTGAAGTGGAGGAACGACTGTCTCATTAATTGACCCCCCAACTACCATGAATGATATTATTCACAATAAAATATTGTCTTCGAGTTTTCTAAAATTTCTTTTCGGTCCATAATAAGCGACCAATTTATTTTTTTATTTTGGTTGAAAATAAGTATCCATTTATGTAATCAAAAATAAAATTATTTTGTTTTTACTCTTTTACCCGTATGTGCATATCCCTAAAAAATAATTTACTCCTCACATTAATATTTAATTAAGGGTAGTTTAGTCATACTAATTATTTTTGTATAGAATTTAGTATTTTCTTAATGGGCGTGCCTAAAACAAACTGGTCACTTATTGTGGAGCGGAGGGAGTAGATATTTTTGTCAAAATAGGATAATTAATATCAAAATATTATATAAATTAAAATTAAAATAAAACAGTACTCATTCCCTCAAATAAACTTTTTTTTAAATTTTCATCCCTCCTATAAATATTCTTGCTTTGAAAATTATTTAATTCAGACTAATGAGACCGACAAAGTTCTAGTTCCCTTACGTTTGTAAGAAAGAAGTAATTATTTAGCAATAATGATTTTAGGATTCTATCTAACAAAAAGTCAAAGATTTTTTAATATATTTGATCGCTTGATAAAATATTTATAATTAATTATATATAATATATACTTCATAATATATATTACTGAATTACTCCATATTTATCAGCTATTGTTTTCAACAGATAACTATTTAAGTTAATTTCTCAAACTTATTTAAGTTGCTTTGTCACTCACGTGGGGACCTCAACATATTGAACCTTGGAAAGAAACAAATGACGAATTCTGTGGCGAGCAGACAGAGCAACGTGTAATCATAAATGCAAAACTTGTGGAATATGCCATAATATCTACAGATCGCATAATTGCAACAGTTGGAATATGCTCAAATGTTCTGAATATTGCTTTCAACTTATCTTTTTTATGTGGGATAATAATATCTCCGTTTTCTCAGTTTGATTTTATCGGGTTGAGCATGATTAATTATACAAAATTAGAGTTAAAAAAAATATAGGGTCAAGTAAAGAAGAATTAGTAATATAAAGACACGTGGTAAGGTCGGGGTCAAAAATTTAATTTTTATTACGAAAAAATCATAAAATGGATTTGTTAGTAGACACTGGCATAAATAGGTCAAAAGTATAACGTCAGTAGCATGAATAGACCAACCTTTAAACGCATAGCATAGATAGGCCATTTCAGTTAGTTGAGTGGCATGAATGGACCAACCTTTAAACGCATGGCATAGATAGGCCATTTATGTTAGTTGAGTGGCATGAATGAGCCAAAAGTATAACTTAGTGGTATGAATGAATCAACTTTTTAACGGATGACATAGATAGGCCATTTTTGGGAGTTGAGTGGCATTTTTAGACCTTTTCCGTATATATAATAAAATTGCGCTACACACTGTCATAAAAGATAAGAGAAAACAAGTAATAAAAAGAATAAACATAGCGCAAGCAGATTATTTTATTGAGTACGTGTTTTTGCAGTTCTTTTTTTTTTTTGGAGCTTTCTACTCGAAAATTTTTAATAGAAATTACAATGTTGCTAGGTACCTAAACTAATCTTCTTTGCAAAGATTACAAGTATCTACATCCCAAATGTTATTGCATGCCCGCAATATTTGTACGTTTATTGGACGCGTATTTGGCATGTCAAATTGAAGTGGAACCAAACCTTATTAATCTTTCATAATTATAGTTTCCTAAAATTATCAAAAGATAGTACTTCTTCCATTCACTTTTACTTGTCCACTATTCTAAAAATAGATATTTATTTTTACTTGTCCATTTTCGCATATCATGAGAAAAATAGTTTATTTTTCTTGTTTTGCCGTTAGCATTAATTACTCATTCCAAATCATTTTTCAAATCCATTAAAACTATATACCAATTAATAGGGGTATCATGGTAAATTATACACTTTATTTATTATTTCTTAAGGGGCGTGCAAAATCAACAGTGGACAAATAAAAATAAACAAAGGGAGTAGTTATGTAGAGGGTATCTTTAAGTACTAAAATTGCATACAAATAGTTACGGAGTTTTAACGAATGGCCGCAATAAAATTAGGGCTATTCATTTTTAGCCCAAGTGCCGAAAATTATTACAAGTGTTGTTCAAAATCAAAAGTATATACACTGATTTTATATATATATATATATATATATATNGGTCGTTTTGAGAGTATTAGCCTCGAACCCCTAATTATTGCTCTCGTAATTTCATTTTTTGGTTACGTAACTTGCCAGGAGGATTTGTTTTTAGTTTCGGAGTGGAATGGGACACATAATCCTGAAATTGGGAGCGTAAGTTCTAAGAATTGACCGTAGTTTGAATTGTAAGAAAACTAATCTGGAATAAAGTTTCGACGGTTCCAATAATTTCGTAGGGTGATTTTGGTCTTAGGAGCGTATTCGTATGTTGAATTGGAGGTCCGCAAGTCATTTTAGCGTCAATTAGCGAAAATTAGAAAATTGGATGATTTTTGAAAAGTTTGACCGGGCGTGAACTTTTTAATATCGGGGCCGGATTATGATTCTGAGGAGTAGGTCCGTAATGTCAATTACGACTTGTGTGAAAAATTTGAGGTCAATCGGACTTGATTTGATAGGTTTCGTCATTGAATGTAGAAGTTTAAAGTTTTAAAGTTCATTAGGCTTGAATCGATGCGCAATTCACGTTTTTTCCATTATTTGATGTGATTTAAAGGCTTGACTAAGTTCGTATGATGTTTTAGGAGCGTGTTCGGATGTTGAATTGGGGGTCCGTAGGTCACTTTAGCGTCAATTGGCGAAAATTGAAAAATTGGATGATTTTTGGAAAGATTGACTGGGCATGAACTTTTTTATATCGGAGCCGGATTCTGATTCCGAAAGTTGTAGTAGGTCCGTAATGTCAATTATGACTTGTGTAAAAAATGTGAGGTCAATTGAACTTGATTTGATAGGTTTCATCATCGAATGTAGAAGTTTGAAGTTTTAAAGTTCATTAGGCTTGAATTGATGCGCAATTCACGTTTTTTGCATTGTTTGATGTGATTTAAAGGCTTGACTAAGATCGTATGATATTTTAGGACTGGTTGGTATATTTGGTCGATGTCCCCGGGGCCTCGGGTGGATTCTGGATGGCTAATGGATTAAATTTGGACTTGTGACAATGGCTGAAGTGCACCAGTTCTGGTGCAATCGCACCTCCACAAGATTGATCGCAGGTGCGAGCTCGCAGAAGCGGGCATTTGGGCGCAGATACGGGGCTGGAGGAAATGGCATGTGGTCGCACGTGCGGCATGAAGGCCGCAAAAGTGTAGTCGCTTCTGCGGAAGAGTGATCGCAGAAGCAGACGAGTGCTTGGGAGGCCTGTTTGCAGAAGCAGACGTGTTTGCGCAGATGCGCACCCACAAAAGTGGGGTTTGGACCACAGAAGCAGAATTGGGCAAGGGAGCTGGAACTGCAAAAGCAGCTTGGAGGCTCGTAGAAGCGAGTCCATAGAAGCAGAGTGAGGGAACGCAGGAGCGGAAGAAGTCGCAGATGCGGGTGAGTGGTCGCTTCTGCGATGCCGCAAGAGCAGTTATCTTACCGCAGAAGCGGAAGTGCTGGCAGAAGACTTAAATACAATGGTTCGCTTTTTTGCTTCATTTTAAACATTTTGAGCTCGAGTTTTGGCGATTTTCGAGAGATTTCTTGAGGTAAGTCACTTGTGATCATTCTTATTCAATAATATTATTTTCGCATTGAATTTTCTACCTAGTTTGTGCATTTAAGGTGGAATTT